GATAAAATGGTCTTAGTGCTCTGTTAATGGGCCTGCTGAAGCGACCAATTTTCTATCGGTGAGCACAAGGAATTTCATTTCAAATGTTATTTGGACATTTTTTAGATTTTTACAGTTGCTATTCCATTTTTAGAAGGTATAACTGGAAGACTTAAATGGTAATGTTAAAGTTACAGAAATGTAGCAAGAAAAACGTTTTTTACTAATTGAAAAATGTTCTCTGATGCAATGGCTAGTTTAAGTTCAGTCATTATAGGTAAAAACTATATCAAAACAGGATATTATAGCCTACCAAAGTCTGCACATATGTTGATTAGGATCAAACGTTATTTCCTTTTATTTATTTCACAAAAAATAAAAGTTATTTGTTCACAAGTAAAACAACCCCAAAACTTCTTTGAAGAATCACAGCTTAAATGTGGCTGTATGAATAGAGTAAAAAGAAAATACACATACATAAGGACATACTATGAACTGAAACAAGCTTCATTTTCAAAAAAGAAAAAATTTGACAAACCATGTCAAAGAACAGCTTTTTTTCTTTTCTTTTTTTTTTTTTTTTTGAGATGGAGTTTTGCTTTTGTTGCCTAGGCTGGAGTATAATGGCATGATCTCAGCAACCTCCACCCCCCAGGTTCAAGTGATTCTTCTGCCTCAGCCTCCCAGTTAGCTGCAATTACAGGCATGTACTACCACACCTGGCTAATTTTGTATTTTTAGTAGAGATGGGGTTTCTCCATGTTGGTCACGCTGGTCTTGAACTTCCAACCTCACGTGATCCACCCCCATCAGCCTCTTTGTCTAAAGATAGTAAAAACTAATAGGATGGATTTAATTTTATATTTATTTATTTAATTTTATTTTTATAGAAATGAGGTCTCACTATGTTGCCCAGGCTGGTCTCATGCTCCTGGACTCAAGTGACCCTCCTGTCTCAGCTTCCCAAAGTGCTGGGATTACAGGTTTGAGCCACCATGCCAGCCAAGGATTTACTTTTTACACTTGATCTTAGCCAAAAGGCTGAGAAGCGATAGGGATTTACTTTTTAAATGCCTAATAACAATTAAAAAGTATAGGAAATTAAAAAAAAAATCTCTATGTAGTCCTATATTACACATGTACCCAGAAAACTCCAGAATTAAAAAAAAAAATTACAGATAGCTGCCCTCCCCTAAATGTTTTTAGTTTTTCTCATTTATCTAACAAATATGCCAAGAAGTATAGATGACAAATGTTTAAACGGTCATAAAATCACTTATTCCTTTGTAACAAAAATTCCAATTTATACACAGTAATTTATATTTAAAGTTACTGCATTAGATATTTTTGGAAAATGGACACCAGCCAACAATGAAAAGAGAAAACTAAAAAGAGGGAATGGTAGAATTTAAGGAAGTAGAACTAACCAAGTATTGAAAAGAAATCTGCAGATGATAGCTATGCAGGAGGCTCAGAAAACAGTGTGTCCAAAGATGATCATTTAATAAACAGTATGATAAACTAGATGAATATTTATATGATAATACTATAAATGCTACTTAGTTTTTAATTTTCAAATTTGATCATGAGTCAAAATATGAAAAACAATTACACTTAACATAATTTAAACATTATCAATTTTGACATTGTAGAATTGATGGTATAACTGAGAGAAGCTAGGTTATAAGTGACAGAAAAGGATAAAAACATAGAAACCAAATACTAAGTTCTAGACTAGGCAGTTAAAGAGTTATTGGTCAAAGTCAATGAGGCAATAAATCCAGCTCAAAGTGTAATACTTACAGTTATTAGGATAACAGAAGAAATATGGTAAGAATTTAAGAATTTATATTCCTTGTCTTTCAAAGTAATAATTTCAGTCAACAGGGACAATACATACAGTAAGAAATATAAGCATATCATTTACAGAATAGAAGCAACCATTTAAAAGAACAAAAAACATCTGAGATAAGATATGAGAAGTCAGATGAGGTGGGAGGTATAAAGCAGAACTTTACATTTTATATACCTTTATTTGTGCTTCTGAGTTTTTATTTCCAGGTATAAAATTAATTTTATAATTTAAAAAATGCCATTAAAATCCTGTGTTTGTGATCTTAGATGGTAAATATGGAAGAAATAAATACCAAAACTTTTTAAAAGTTGCTTGATTTAGGATTAAATACTGTTGACTAAAGATAATTTTTCAAAAATAAAAAGGATTTATACTACTATCTCTTCTTCCCTTCAATTTGTGCCTATGTCAATTTTTTTCCTGAGACTCTATATAAAGTAAGAGAGAAGGAAGAAAAGTCAATAAAGATATGCAGAAAATATTAACAATAATGTGTAAGTAAAAGGAATGAGAAAACAACGTGTAATTCTTAAAACTACCAAACTTGCTGGGCATAGTGGCTCACACCTGCAATCCCAGCACTTTGGGGGGCTGAGGCGGGCAGATCCCTTGAGTCCAAGAGTCCTAGACCAGATTGGTCAACACGGTGAAACCCCATCTCTTCTAAAATACAAAAAATTAGCCAGGCATGGTGGCACATGCCTGTACCACCACCTAGTTAGGAGGCTGAGGCACAACAATCACTTGAATCCAGGAGGCAGCAGCTGCAGTGAGCCAAGATCGTGCCACTGCACTCCAGCCTGGAAGACAGAGAGATACTCTGTCTCAAAAAACAACAGCAACAACAACAAAACCAAAAACTACCAAACATATTTTATAAAATCTAGATATAGGAGAATACTTTAAGTACTAACTAATGTGAATAATATACAAATATCCTTAAAACAAACAATTTTCATTTTCCCCATATACTTTACTCATTCTAGAAATAATACACACAAAACACAATGTCAGCATGTTATTTCAGAGCAAAACATGTCAATAATATCAACTAGTCTTTTAATTTTAGGATTTCAAAAACATATGAATAAGTGTTATATTTTTCATGATGAAAATAATACATGTGTTCACTTTCAATACAATGATAAATGTACTGTTTTTCTAAAACAATAACATCTTGTTTTAACTATTCAAATCCAATAATTTCTTCTCAACCCAAACCTGCAATTGGCTTTAATGTTTCTGTATATCTCTTCATATAAACAAACATAAAGGAATTTAGAAAGATGTCCAAAGTGCAAAGTCATCTCCATTCTGAGTACACAACAGAAATAAAATGAACAGAGTTAAAACTTTTTATTCTAACACTTAGGAAACTCAGGGAGTGGTGCTAGGCTTATGTAATCTACTTTCAATAAATCTAGTTACAGATAAGTAAATTACTAGAATCAAGTATGAATTGCTTGGTATAATACTATAGATGGGCTATATATTGCTCAATACAGTACTGAGCAATTCACACTTTAGAACCAGGCAGAAGTGAGTTCAAACTGTGTACTATTTACATGTTTGCCGACGTGGGCAAGTCACTTACACTCTGAGCATCTTCTAAATTAAAAACAATAATATCTACTGGAACAGGCACCAGTGCTTGTTCTATGCTAGACAGTTAAAAATGTTAAATCACATCTCCAACAGTTACTGAACTATTTCTCTCTAAATAATATTTTCATTTTCATTCAGGTTCTCAGCTTTTTCAGTTTAAAGGGGCATCCCTTAGCACAGCTGCATGACTTTGGTGTGGCAGATCACAAATGAATTAGGTGAATGATTTGTTTTGGCTGCCTGTGGCACTATTACATTACCAATTCTGATTTGAAGAGCAGTTATAGTGCTAAGAAAATATATTTTTTTAAGAAAATATTTTTAATTGAATAAAATGTATTTACTCTTCTCATATATGTGTATATGAAAAGTATAAAAATAGACAAAATCAGGGTAAAATAATGAGATAAGAAATACGTATGGTTTATAGACTTGAGGCTCATATTTTAATTGTAGTTTTCACATTTCAGTTTTGACTTAGGTTACATGCACTTCACCCTATTAGGCCTCTCCCTTTCTCAATTATATGCAAAAATGACAAAAAAAAAAAGATCTCTCTTGCTGTTTCAAGTGCAAGAAAAAGTATATAAACTAAGAGAGATTAATATATTTAGTGTTTATCAGGCTCAGTCACCTTAGAAATGATAATATTTTCCAGTTTAGAATTGAGGTTTATAAGGAAAAAGGATCCTGAGCAAGGATAAAACAGAAAAGAAAAAATGGAGGAAAAACTGGTCAAAGAATAATCATAGTTATCATATATTCAACACTGGTATATAAAAGCCAGATGCTTTAAGTAAGTCATTTTTTATATTGCCAACAACTTTACAAGTAGGTATAATCATCTCCCTTTATAGATGAGCAACTGAAATTCAGGAATGATCTGCCCAAAGTCACTCAGCCAGGAACCAGTGCAGCCAGAACTGAAACTGGAGTCTGTCTAAACAAAATTAAATCATGCTAAGCTATTTTCAGAACGTAAAATTTCTAGGACATCAAAATTTCGTTAGAGAGCAGTTACTTTTCCCTTCATTTGTACAAGAGACAAAAACTAAGTGCATTTGGTCATCAATGAACGCTCTTTCCTTAGTTTCTTCTTGTTAGTCATATGAGCCAAAGAGATTTCAAGGTAAAAATGTCAGTATTGCATGCTCTTATCCCTAGTCAAAGGATGCTTTCAAAACAATTCCCATCAGCAGTTGGGCCATCAAAATCATGGAAGTAAGGAAAGAAGAAAGGAGGGAAGAAGGTGTGAAAGGGAGAGAAGGAGAGTGAAAGAGAGGTGACAGGAGAGGAAAGGAACAGAGAATGGAGGAAAACCAGTAGAATACACTTTCTTCATTTAAAATATAATTTGTCTGTCTACATCTTTTCCTTTGCCTTACTACTCCTAGCAGTATTACACTTCTCAGACAAAACCATATTGAATTGTCCTTATATTCCATAGGCAAAGATTTTTTAAAAAACTACATTTAACTCCCTTATGTGAATTTCTTTTAAGTTCTAAGAACTCCAATGACATACTAATTTACTTTCACTTTCTGGAAACTAACAGTCTTACCATGAAACTTGGAGGCTTCAGGATCATTCACATTGATAGCAATTAATTTCCAATCTGTTTCACCTTCGTCAATAAGAGCCAAAATTCCCAGGATCTTCACTTGAATAACTTCTCCACAAGAAGCAATCTTTAAAGAGAAAAGAAATTCACTATTTGCTTGGCTGTCAAGAGTTTACTCCCATATGACAAAATCCATATAAAAGATTAAAAGAACTATAGACAGAAATAAAACCTCAATAATTAAAAATAATATAAAAAGCCAAAGTCTGCCTTGCAATGTTCCTTTAGAGTTAACTTTCTCAAAACTTTTCCACCAATGATTGAATTGTTTTACTGATAAACAAACAACTTGTCCTCCCACTGCAAACAACTAAAAAACTGGACAAAATATATGAAATCACTCGTTTCAGACATTAAACAATGGGAGGTGCAGTACTGTGACGCTACACGGAAGTAAACAAATGAGGAGAGCCATGTGATTGCCCTGGCTTCCTGCTCAATGCCCGTTCCAAACCACAAAAGATAGAAAGGAATCCAATAAGAGAACCGGGATCTCACTGAGGTTAAAGAACAGAGTTAAAAAAAATGGGGAGGAGGGTGGGCATGGTGGCTCACATCTATAATCCAGCACTTCGGGAGGCTGAGGCAGGCAGATCACAAGGTCAAGAGATCGAGACCATCCTGGCCAACATGGTGAAACTGTCTCTATTAAAACTACAGAAATTAGCTGGGCATGGTGGTCGACGACTATAGCCCCAGCTACTTACAAGGTTGAGGCAGAAGAAACACTTAAACCCAGAAGATGGAGGTTGCAGTGAGCTGAAATCATGCCACTGGAGACAGAGAAAGACTTCGTATTAAAAAAAAAAAAAAAAAAAAAAAAGTCGGGGGGGATGAGGTAGCTGCAATTTGTAGGGCATGGTACCAGAGATGAGAAATAACTACAGCAATATAATAGGGGTTCCTTTGATTAAATACTAACCTGATTAAATACTAACTGATTAAATACTAACCTGTGCATGCATGGGATGAGACTCCGTAAGTCAAGGCAAATAACTGCCAGAGGCCTATAAAATGAGTTCCAACCACCCAGGAAAATCTCAGTCAGCACAAGGCGCATTCTTTAGTGAGCCTACAACAGGCATGCCTTAGTGTAGGATTAAACTAACTCTCAAATAAAGGTTACTCTAGACCTGTCTCAATAAAGTTATAAAAGTACCTGGACACAACTAAACTGACTCACAAATAACTATGTGCAAAAACAAATATTCTTTAAAGGAAGACAACAACATCCAGGTACCCAACATAATACAACATCCAAGATTCTGTCAATACGTAAGAAAATGTAAGCCCTAAATCATTTAACAGAAACATTTCCAGAAATTTTAGATGATGGAAATTACAGATAGGAACCTTAAAATAACTACTATAAATATGCTCAAAGATTTAAAGAAAAACATGAAAATATGGAAGAGAGAAATGAGAAATATAAAAAAGAAGCAAATGGGACTTTAAGAGCTAAAACATACATGATCTGAAATGAAAAATCCTCTCAATGAGCTTAACAACAAAATAGACTTTAACAAAGAGAATATTAGTGAACCTGAAGATACTGTAACAGAAACTTTCCAAAGTGAAGCACAGAAACAAAAAGGATAAGAAAAAATTAACAATGTCAGTGTCCTCTGGGACAACATCCAGCACTCTATCTTATGTATAAATGGAATTCCAGAATGGGAAGAGGAGGCAGAAAAATCTTTGAATAAATAATGTCTAAAAATTTTCCAAATTTGGTGAAAAGTATAAACCCACAGATAGAGAAAAAGCACAAGCGCATGTGCGTGCGTGCACACACACACACACACACACCCATCAGAATAAAAAACAAAAAAAAATCCGAAGTGAGGCACATCATAATTAAAGTGCTGAAAACCAGTGATAGGGACAGAGAATACATCTTAAAAGCATATAGAAGGGAAAAAAAGATTATATAAGGGTTGATGATAAGAATGACGGCCGATTTCTCTTTAGAGGCAATGTAAACCAAAAGACAAAGAAATGAAATCTTTAAAATTCTTTTTTTTTCCCCCATTTATTTATTTTATTGCATTTTAGGTTTTGGGGTACATGTGAATAACATGCAAAATTGTTGCATAAGTACACACATGGCAGTGTGATTTGCGGCCTTCCTCCCCATCACCTACATCTGGCATTTCTCCCCTTGCTATCTCTCCCCAGCTCCCCACCCGCCACCGTCCCTCCCCTATTTCCCCCCAACTGACCCCAATGTGTAGTGCTCCCCTCCCTGTGTCCATGTGTTCTCATTGTTCAACACCTGCCTATGAGTGAGAACATGCGGTGTTTGATCTGCTCTTCTGTCAGTTTGCTGAGAATGATGGTTTCCAGGTTCATCCATGTCCCTACAAAGGACCCAAACTCATCGTTTTTGATGGCTGCATAATATTCCATGGTGTATATGTGCCACATTTTCCATATCCAGTCTATCGTCGATGGGCATTTGGGTTGGTTCCAGATCTTTGCTATTGTAAACAGTGCTGCAATGAACATTCGTGTGCACGTGTCCTTATAGTAGAACGATTTGTAATCCTTTGGATATATACCCAGTAATGGGATTGCTGGGTCAAATGGAATTTCTATTTCTAGGTCCTTGAGGAATCACCACACTGTCTTCCACAATGGTTGAACTAATTTACACTCCCACCAACAGTGTAAAAGTGTTCCTATTTCTCCACATCCTCTCCATCATCTGTTGTCTCCAGATTTTTTAATGATCGCCATTCTAACTGGCGTGAGATGGTATCTCAATGTAGTTTCGATTTACATTTCTCTGATGACCAGTGATGATAAGCATTTTTTCCTATGTTTGTTGGCCTCATGTATGTCTTCTTTTGTAAAGTGTCTGTTCATATCCTCTGCCCACTTTTGAATGGGCTTGTTTGTTTTTTCTTGTAAATCTGTTTTAGTTCTTCGTAAATTTTGGATATCAGCCCTTTGTCAGGTGGGTAAACTGCAAAAATTTTTTCCCATTCTGTTGGTTGCCGATTCACTCTAATGATTGTTTCTTTTGCTGTGCAGAAGCTGTGGAGTTTGATTAGGTCCCATTTGTCTATTTTGGCTTTTGTTGTCAATGCTTTTAGTGTTTTGGTCATGAAGTCCTTGCCTACACCTATGTCCTGAATGGTTTTGCCTAGATTTTCTTCTAGGGTTTTTATGGTGTTAGGTCTTATGTTTAAGTCTTTAATCCATCTGGAGTTAATTTTAGTGTCAGGTGTCAGGAAGGGGTCCAGTTTCTGCTTTCTGCACATGGCTAGCCAGTTTTCCCAACACCATTTATTAAACAGGGAATCCTTTCCCCATTGCTTGTTTTTGTCTGGTTTGTCAAAGATCAGTTGGTTGTAGATATGTTGTGTTGCCTCCGAGACCTCTGTTCTGTTCCATTGGTCTATATCTCTGTTTTGCTTACTGTAGCCTTGTAGTATAGTTTGAAGTCCGGTAGTGTGATGCCTCCCGCTTTGTTCTTTTTGCTTAGAATTGACTTGGCTATGCGGGTTCTCTTTTGGTTCCATATGAAGTTTAAGGTGGTTTTTTCCAGTTCTGTGAAGAAGGTCACTGGTAGCTTGATGGGGATAGCATTGAATCTGTAAATTACTTTGGGCAGTATGGCCATTTTCACAATATTGAATCTTCCTAACCATGAACATGGAATGTTTCTCCATCTGTTTGTGTCCTCTCTTATTTTATTGAGCAGTGGCTTGTAGTTCTCCTTGAAGAGGTCTTTTACGTTCCTTGTTAGTTGTATTCCTAGGTATTTTATTCTCTTTGTGGCAATTGTGAATGGAAGTTTGTTCTTGATTTGGCTCTCTTTAAGTCTGTTATTGGTGTATAGGAATGCATGTGATTTTTGCACATTGATTTTGTATCCTGAGACTTTGCTGAACTTGCTTATCAGTTTCAGGACATTTGGGGCTGAGATGATGGGGTCTTCTAGATATACAATCATGTCATCTGCAAATAGAGACAGTTTGACTTCCTCCTTTCCTATTTGAATGCCCTTTATTTCTTTTTCTTGCCTGATTGCTCTGGCTAGAACTTCTAATACTATATTGAATAGCAGTGGTGAGAGAGGGCATCCTTGTCTGGTGCCACATTTCAAGGGGAATGCTTCCAGTTTTTGCCCATTCAGTATGATATTGGCTGTTGGTTTGTCATAAATAGCTTTCATTATTTTGAGATACGTTCCATCGATACCTAGCTTATTGAGTGTTTTTAGCATAAAGGGCTGTTGAATTTTGTCAAAGGCCTTCTCTGCATCAATTGAGATAATCATGTAGTTTTTGTCTTTGGTTCTGTTTATGTGGTGAATTGTGTTTATGGACTTGTGTATGTTGAACCAGCCTTGCATCCCCAGGATGAAGCCTACTTGATCATGGTGGATAAGCTTTTTGATGTGCTGTTGCAATCGGCTTGTCAGTATGTTATTGAAGATTTTTGCATCTATGTTTATCATGGATATTGGCCTGAAGTTTTCTTTTCTTGTTGAGTCTCTGCTGGGTTTTGGAATCAGGATGATGTTTGTCTCATAAAATGATTTAGGAAGAATTCCCTTTTTGTATTGTTTGGAATAGTTTCAGAAGGAATGGTACCAGCTCCTCTTTGTATGTCTGGTAGAATTCGGCTGTGAACCCGTCTGGACCTGGGCTTTTTTTGGGTGGTAAGCTCTTAATTGCTGTCTCAACTTCAGACCTTGTTATGGGTCTGTTCAGGGTTTCGGCTTCATCCTGGTTTAGGCTTGGGAGGAGGCAAGTGTCCAGGAATTTATCCATTTCTTCCAGGTTTATTAGTTTATGTGCATAGAGTTGTTTGTAATAATCTCTGATGATGGTTTGAATTTCTGTGGAATCTGTGGTGATATCCCCTTTATCGTTTTTTATTGCATCAATTTGGTTATTCTTTCATTTCTTTTTTATTAATCTGGCTAGTGGTCTATTTTGTTGATCTTTTCAAAAAACCAGCTCCTGGATTTATTGATTTTTTTGAAGGGTTTTTTGTGTCTCTATCTCCTTCAGTTCTGCTCTGATCTTAGCTATTTCTTGTCTTCTGCTAGAC